CTCGTCTCGTCTCTCTCTCTCTCTCTCTCTCTCTCTCTCTCTCTCTCTCTCTCTCTCTCTCTCTCTCTCTCTCTCTCTCTGTTTATTCGACGAAGATCGAATATGGACGGTGAATCGTCCGAATAAAGGCGTCGCGTAACGATAATGGTCGGGTATCGAACGGATGCGATATTAACTAGCGGCTACGTTCCATAAAAAGATGTTTGTATATGTATGTGTGTGTACGTTAATTAACGTTGTATAACGCGTTGTACACGCGACGTGTTACGCCCTTGTTATACGCGCAGCAACCTTGGAAGAAGAAGAAAAAGAAGAAGGTAGAAATGGTCGGGCGGGAAGGGAGGAGAGGAGGAGTGCGGCGCTACCGGAAGCTTTCCGGACAACGGAAGGAGTTTAAAAACCGTGGGGGCCAAGAGCGTGAGCCGAGAGGTGGTCCCCCACGTTCCACGATCTTAAGGCAAGAAGAAATATGACCGAGCTACTGACGTCAGCTTCCTTTTGCCACGACCGACGCTCGACCACCCAGAATCCTGTCACCACCCGGCCGTTCGAAGGATGTCGTTCGAACGGGAAAGGATCGACGGAACGAGGCGAATAACGATCGCGTTACACGAGTTGACGCGCTTCCTTCTAGATTCTCGAGTGGGTAGGTAGGTAGGTAGGTAGGTAGGTAGGTAGGTAAGTAGGTAGGTAGGTAAGGTAGGTAGGTAGGTAGGTAGGGAGGTAGGGAGGTAGGTAGATAGGTAGGTAGGTAGGTAGGCAAGCAGTATACCGCTAAACCGAGAAATACAAAAGAGAGAGATCAGCCGGACGAGATAACCGGAACGTCGAATCGAACACGAACTTGGATGGAGATTCGACCGGCATTACCGGGCATTAACGTTTATCGTCCGGCGAAATTTCATTATTAAGTCGTTCCGAGTCCTTTGGGCTAGGCCTCGAAGCGACGCGCTACACGCTACACCGTTCACCACCACAATCGATTTCGCGTTCCCGTTTTTACACACCGCTCGCTTATTTTAACATCGGCCGCGGTTATTAATGCTAATTTTTCTTTCTCTCTCTCTCTCTCTCCCTCATCTCCATTATTCGGTGGCATTGCGCGTGTAATATTTCGCGAAACGATGATTACGGATGTAACAGAAGGAGGGGGTGTCCTATGAATCTAATCGCGCTTCGTATTTAATGTTTTTCCACCTCGCCCACTCTCTACGTGGCAAAACTTGTTCCTGGGAACGATTAAGAATCTCTAGATTGCCACGGGAGCTGTAATGGCGTCGTTAACGGTGCTAATGTGATTACCGGCTGAAAGCACCGGACGAGAGAGAGATCCCCGCCGCAAAAACAGGAGCAATTTACGTTTCCCTTAGTAGAAAAATCCTTCGCCCGCCCATCTTTTTTCTTCTCCCTTTCTCTTCCCTTCCCTCTTCTTCTTCTCTACGAAATTAACGCCGCGATCCCGCGCTCCATCTCACGACCTCCTTTCTTCCTTCCTCTTCTTCCTCGATCGTTCGCGTTCTTCTTCCAATTTTTCAAGAAAATTTCGAGAAAATCGGTCAACGTCACGGCTGGCCAACAACGGATGGCCCTCCACTCGTTCACGTTCTCGTCTCCCCTCGTCGTTAATTCTCGCGTGAACAGGTAAAATTTATGCGCGCGCGCGCGCGCGCACGCACTCGATCCGTTGGCAACAATTAGCGTCGCCTCTTATTTTCTGCTCGGCACGGCTCCCATCTCGAACGGTTAATTATCACCGTTCGACCATCCTCGGCCAAATGTCTCTTTCCGATCCTAGCCGACTACTAGGCATCTATTTTCGTGCGCGTATAAGCTCGGATAGATCACGCGGAAAGATGATCGTAATTAAACGAGAGGGAAGCCAGTCAACGCCTCGACTAATGGATTCGAAGTGACGCTTCGTTGAAAACGACGCGGCAACGAAGGAACAAAAAGAAGAAGAAAAAAAAAATGTTTTATCATTATCAACGGAGCAAGGGAGGGACGAGGTTTGTCGAGCGTTACATCGTACCGACGCGCGCGCGTTCCATAAGAATACGCTTGAATATTCCTATCGAACGATAATATCGCGCTTCCGTTCTCCTATACTCTTTATATATCCTACTCGCTTGCTATACATCGTTTATCCCGATTCTTTTTCCCTTCTCTTCGCGATTTCGAGTTACGTATTCGCATTCGCTCGCTTCTTTTTTGGCATCCGTGACCGCGATCGATGCCGTCGGACAGTCGGTACAAACGTTTCGCTTCGATCACTCGCCTCTACGATCATTCATCCGACATCGAATTCATCTTCTTTTTCCAAGAAGATAATATCTTTTCTCTATCCTGGCGTTTGAGAGATTAGAAGAGGAGAGGAAAGTGAGGAAAAAAGGTAAGCGTAAAGATAAAGAGTTTTATCGAGGAGAAACGACGATTTCTATTCGTTTCCATTTCGCGTTGATCTCCGAAACGCTCGTCCTTTTTTACGCTGCGTCATTTCCGATGTTTGTTTCGATGTTTGTTTCGATGTTTGATGGTTGAAGAGGAGGAGGAAAGGAAAGAGGGGGGAGGGAGAGGAAAAGTTGTCGCGTAAAAAATGGGGGAGAAAAATGGTGGATCAACTCACGGTGATCGAGATTCGAATTGGCGACGAACGCTTTGCCGGTTGGACATTCGAAGCTGGTATTAGCGGTAGCGGCGGCGTTGCCAATGCCCTGCAGGTGGTAATGCCCGAAGGACGGACCCCTGGGCGCCATGATGGCCGCGATGCTGAAGTCCGTCGCTTTTCCCCTTCCCCTTTCGTAGGCATCCCTTCTCACCACCGACGACACACTTTGATTCCCTTGATTTTTCCCTCGCTCTTTCCTCCTTTTTTCCTCTCTTTCCACACGGTTCTGTTCCTTCCGCTCCTTTTTTTCTTCTTTTTCGCCTCCTCGCTTTACCTTAGCTCTCGTTCTCTCTCTCTCTCTCTCTCTTCTTCCTTCCTTCCTTCCCTCCCTTTTTCCCTCCCACCCACCCTCCCTCCCACCTCCCTCCTCCCTTTCTCCCTCCGTCCCTCTCTCCCTCTCCCTCTTTCTTTCTCTCGTCTTTTTCCTCTCTCTATCCTCCGTTCTTCACCAACGTGCCAGATCACTTCGTTTGTCGTTCGCCGTCCGTTCTTCGAATCACAATTCTCTCACTCGCGACTAAACTAATAACTACTAGTAAGCAGGTGAATGAAATAGCGTGGAGAAGAAAAGTGACGAACGCGGCGATCAACGACCGGCCATCGTATCGTGTTGTATCGTTTCGTATCGTATCGTATCGTGCCGTGCCACCGTATTATTACGCGCCGTGTTATTCCATCCGACTCGGTGGAGAACGAAATCGAGAAACGAGAACGAGAGCGGTACACGATCACCGCGGCGAGAGTTAAAAAGCTTATTAGGGACGAGGATCGGCGACGAAGAGCGACGCGAAACGAAACGCGTCTGCGCTGCTCGACTTCCCGGACTCCACTGGGCCACCGCTCCTCCTCCCACGCGCACCGCTCACCCCACCAACCGAGCCACGGCAACGCCGCTCGGCCCTGGCCGCTCCCCAAGCCCCGATAACGACAACCGAGCCCGGCCCTGTGCGCTCGACAAAGAAGGAAAACGCCTCGATTCCACCCTATTGGGCGTTGCCTTTCCAGCCTTTCTCGTTCCTCGAGCGATCGAGGGATCGAGCGGTGGTCACGTGACGGCTTCGAGTCGAGGAAACGAAGGCGGCGCGCAACGTTCCAGGCCACGCCTCCCGTTAACCACCGACACGACCACCGCTCCAACCTTCGACCATCGCTACCACCGACGACGTCGACGACGACGACGACGGCGACGACGATGACGACGACGACGACGACGACGACGACGACGACGACAAAGACGTGGACGTGGACGTGGACGTGGACGTGGACGACGACGACGACGACGACGACATCAGCACCACTACCACGATCGCGAAGCACGGTGGTCGGCGCAACGACGAAAGAGAGATCGATCGACCCCTCGTGCACCGGATGGCCGCCGTTTCTCTACGTATCTACGTATGTACCATCGCTGTACGTACATTGGCGTAGCATCGTACGTTTCTCTCCTGTCTTTCGTTCCTAATCGTTTCGTCGCTCGATTCTCTTTTTTTTTTCTTTTTCGCTTTTTCCTCTCGATTCTCAACGAGTAGATTGTACGGACGTGTAATTAGTCCGGGGAACGCGATACGGGGATCAACCACGTATCCAGGACGCGTCACCAGAAGGAGGATTCGTTTTGCGTGTAAAATTTGAAATTTTGAAGGTTTTTTTTTCCCTCCCATCCTCCCAAAGTTTCGTCGCGATTACACCAGTGACGTCGGCTCGAGCGTCGCGATACCGCTAATAGAAACGTATTCCGATCGATCACTTTCCAGCTACAGCGTTACATTCGCTTTTTACATTCGATTCGAAGAAATTTTTAACCTGTACCTACGCCTCTCGTTCGTTTTATCGTCAACTTTAATTTTTCACCGACACTTTATCGTCTCTTTGCTTCCTTATCGCTCGTTCCCATAAAATCGTTCGGAAGTCTCAAAATACGCGGAGAAAAGGAGGTGGTATAATACTTTTATACGTTCTTTCTTCCAAGTCTTTATACGCTTATACATATTGTGTATATATATATATATATATATACATATATATAAGAAAAATCTCGTGCAACTGTTTCATATCCTTCGAGATTTCGAGAAACGAACGTATCTTTTTGTTCCAATGCTCAATCGAAAATAAAGATATACAATAGGAACGAGTGATGAATGAATTATTACGTTATGTTTCTCGCAAAAGTTCGAGAACGGATACACGACGCGAGAACGACGTCGTTATAAATCTAACGGATGCAACAAGTGAGAAGGCAAGTTTAACCGAAATCGAGGATATCTTTGTTCTCGGACGGTGAAGAGTCGCGGATAAAGAGCGTTAAATACTACTAGGCGGTGGATCGATGAGACGCGTCGAAATGGTATCGCGTTAGTGGCGCTTTTTGGTCGGGAGGGGAGATTTACGGCGTGTGTTTAGGCACTTAGCCGCTCGCTCCTACCTTAGCCCCCCTTTATTATACTAATTTCTCGGCCATGTCAAAATACCTATCGTGTATATATATATATATATATATATATATATATATATATATATATATTGTGTATATATATATACCGCCTT